AAGGCAAATACGTTTTTCTTACATCATTTATTCTGAAAACTGAGGAAGCTCTCACTGTACTTGAATCAGAGTGGAATGATGTCTAGTTTCACTTGGAAGTTGATGTTTAGAATTGGGCACTAAAAAGTTTCCTTTTTATCATGCTTTACTTAAGATAGATACTGCTTGCTCTGCAAGCAAACAACAGTTCTGCAAATTCAACCTTCTCTCAAAGCTAAATTGTATTGCCTAAGGTTGTCATCGTTAATGTTTGCGCAGTCTGTGGGCTCTAATGTTTTTCTTCTGTCTACATTTGTGTATACAAACCCTACGCAGCAGATGTCGGATAACAATATCCTGGCTTTTCTGTTTTTAGCACTGCAGTAAAACCACTCAAGATTTACATGACTCTCTTCTCCAAAACACTGTACCTAGTAAACACAAAGAAACAAACTTCTCCCTCTCACAATATTTGTTAAGCAATCCTTTTCGGATTATTTTAATGTGATTTCCAGGAAGATAGTATTGTATTGTATCCATGCATGATTGGATCTGTGCACATGATCTGAGCAGATAAAATATGTGTAGATTCAGTACCTGAGATACCACTAACAAAGTAGTCATACTGCTAAAAAGAGTAGGAAATATTACCTGTTGTGCAATTTCTGAATTAAAGGGGGAAGGAGGGCGCTTTAGAATAAAAGAAGACATTTGCCACATTGTTATGTTTTGTTTGGTTCACTATTGCTGCTGTAAACAAATGTACTTTTTAATCGTGAATTGGTAGAGGTAAAATAACTTTCAGTCTCTTAACTTCTCTGACTTTCCTTCTATAGCCTAGAGTGCCCTCGTGTGGCTATTTCATTTTCCCAGTGCAACCAGGTGATGATATATAATATTTTACCTGTTCCATGTATTACAGGGGCTCTGTTGAATTCTGCTATCACACTTTCGTAACACACAATATCCTTGGGATTTTTTGCATATAAACCAATGCGTGAGAAGTGCAAACTATAGCTAATTTACTACAGTAAACATTGTTCGGGGCAAGTTTTATATTCAAAATAAACACCTGAAAACAAAATCCCAATAAATCAATTCAAGCCCTTTCGTGATGACCCAGGACTCCTCCATTTTCAGCAAGTCAGGGAAAAAAAAGGTCACACATTTCCTTCAGTAGGAGCTGGTTTATTCTAGCCTCCTTTCCCAAATTTGCCTAGGTTGGCGATGTGCTGAACAGGAACACCAACTGCTTATGTGACAGGTTACTTGAACTTCAGGAAGCAGTTTGTTGTGAGTAAACTAATTATATGTAGTAAACCCAGCCTGTAACAAGCAAGTACCTGAGATGTCTGCATTTCATGTACTCGCTGCACAGGGAAGATAAAACGTCTTGTAATGGAACAAGTAAATCTCTAAAAAGCTTTACCTTTTTGGCAGCTGGCATATAAAGCTATTTTATGTCTTAGAAGTCTTCTAAATATAACAATTTAGATTTAGAGTTATTGAAATATAAACGAGTCATTGTATCTTTAAATAAAAGTTCTACATATGCAGTTTTACTTGCCACTATAATGTGTTTCAGAGGAATTTTATTTGCAATATTTTTTTTGAAAAATACAGGAAAGAAAAATTGGCTAGGTTTGCTCACATTTATGGAAAAATAGCTGTTTAGCTACAGCGACATGAAAGAAGTTGATGACTCTTTCTAATAATGAAGGAAAAAATGACTTTTTTTTAGAACTTTACTCAAGCAACCTCAGGTCCTGAGGAAGGATACAACAAATCTGGGACCTGAACTAAGGTGTTGATGGCTAACTAATAAATGTTGGTTGGGTAAGGTCAGCGTCTGTCTATTTTCCTATCTCATGAACAAATAAACTTAGATGTTATTAGTCTTAGAGTTTGGGAACGTTGTGCACGTTTAAACTATTTTTTATATATTCAGCACTGCCATCTAGTGGACATGATTGCAGTGGGCTTACAATTTCTTACAAGAATGAAAAATGTTTTAAAGCAGATAAAATAATAATGTATTCAAAATTATTCATAAACTTTTAAAAATGAAAGATACAAGAATAATGCTTAATTACTGTGGATTTTTTATAATGATAAAATATGCATTCAACTACTGCTCATATTTTATGTGTCACCGTATGAAAGACAAAGCATGCTACAACAGAACCTGGAGTTACAATATTTGCAATGAAATAAAAGTTCACTCCTGATTTCATGTATCTTGTAGTGTCATCACTGTGCATAATGTGTCCTGCTTCTTAATTGTAATTCAGAATCTTATCTTCTTCCCTTTTTTGCTTTGGTCACTGAGGCAGCAATATATCTCTGAATTTCTGGAGAGAGTGGAAGCAGCTTATTTACTGCAACAGGAGCTAATAATAGCATCAATAATATTTTAAATATCCAGAGTGGTAAATAGAAATGCATCTCAGCCATATAAGAAAGGAGAACAAATACTGTGAAAATCTGAAGAAGTATTTCTCAGTGTGATTAGGCCGAGTGCAAGCACAAAGGACTGCTAGGGTGACAGATAAATGTACAAATTAGGATGACTGAGCCTTTAACAATAAGAGGAGGACTTTTTTTTTAAGGAATACTAGGCTTTGTCAAAGACAGGTGAAAGTTTATAAGGAAACACCAGTTTATGAATGTGGGACTCAGATGAATACTTGTTGCAATTAATCAACAGTGTAGAAGCAAAGTAGAACAGTAAAACAATCATCAGGTACCTAACTAGTCTATTTAGAAATGAAATTCTGTGACTAGGAGTTTACTGCTACCACTAGCCTTTGCAAAGATAGCTCATATTCTGGTCTGTAATAAGCTAAAATATTTTAATTTCCTGCAATTTCAGGCTTATTATACTTAGAAATTATACCTAATCATTATCCTTCACCTCTAAGAATCTTTAAATAAGCTGGAAGAAGTTTCAGTATTTTTGTACATATGAAGACAATGTGCTGCTATTGTGTTACACTGCATTAATATTTTCTGTGTGGCATTTTGCTCTTGCTAAAATATGGTTTCTATATAAGAATTTTTTTTTTCTAACACTGAACATACAGTTTATTTGTTCCAATGAAAATCCTGCCAAATACCAGCATATTGAATGCATATTTTATAGATTCCAGTTGAAAACAATTGGGAACTTACAAGAGAAATGACTAGTAACAGCGAATTGGTATGTAAAATAACAGAGAAAACAACTTGAGTTCTAAGAACTAAATTGTAAGGCCTTTTTCCCAGAAGACAGGGTGAAAACAAACCTTAAAAACCTGTGCATTCTGCTAGATAGAAGCCAGGTTTTGTTTAATTTTCAGGATACTTGGCTGATGTTCTGTGGCTCAAACTCAAGATAAATTGATCTTAACAATGAACTAGAAGTGGTTAACATTAAATATATAATTATTTGGAAAAAAAATACTGTCAAAATAATTTATGGATACTATTACCTGCACTGCTCATGCAGACTGAGTAATTAATAAAGTGCAAGTTTATTATAAATATGTTGGTTTAACCCAGCATAAACATTTTGCACAAACTAGAGGTTGTGGTTGCAAGGGAATGGGAAACAAAAGGTAACTTACTGCACAGTTTAGCCAATATTCTCTTTTTCCACACGAAAAAGATGAAGGATCTGTTTAAGTAGAAGGAGTCAAAAGGAGAGGTGAAAAGCAGTAGTAACGATAGTAACACGGATGGCATTTGTAAATGAAATGGGGGCTACGGGGAACGTAGACTATTTACTGTCACTTCAGATTGCAGTCTGTAAAAAAAAAAAAATTAAAGCAATAGATCATATATTGGCATATTTCATACAGTATTTGTATTATCATAAGCTGATGGGATTCCTAATTTTAGACTAAAATAGCGCTTTGTTAGATGTAGCATAAACACAAACAAAAGAGACAGCTCCTGCCAAGAGAATTTATTGCCTAAGACAAAAGAAAACAGGTTGATAAAAAAACTGACAGAGAAGTGAAAACAAATGCACGTAAACAACAGGGGGAATTTCAGGAAATACGGAATTTCAGAATGATAAACAGCGAGCAGATGTAATCACGGATCACACTGAATTTCTATAGCAGTTGTGGCATTTACATGACCTGATGACGTAGTCGACTCCTGTTTTTAAGTTCTAAAACGCACACAATACAAATTAGCCGGTGTAGCTCACTACTGTAGCCAAGAACTGGTAAGAATTTACTGTGAAGAAATGGACTTCTGCCCAGGAGCATCCTGTAAAACTGCCAGAGATTTGATCTCCGCCACCCGGTGACTCCATCAACTATGACTGCTAATAGGTAACATCGAGTCCAGGTTAAGCGGGATTTAAAGCAGGCTTGGGCATTTACTGTCATCGAGAAACGTAGCAAGACTTATTGCTAAGGCTGTTGAACACACTTCTAAGTAATTAAGCTTTGTCAGATGGCAACTTTCCTGGCTAATATTCTTGGGCGTGTCTGTGCAGCAGGCCTAACTTGCCCGGTTAACGTCTGGGTCTAAGCAAGTAGCAGCAGCCCCGCTGTCAGGTTACATTCAGTTAAATTCCCTGCTAGGTAAATCATGCATCCAGTTACGTAAGCCATATACACAAGTTTTACTCTTGCACTGAGCACATATGCTACCATTACTTCCTAGTGGACTGCAGAACTTCTGTGTTCTTTGGGAAAGGCCAGCAGCATGGTGAGAGCGACGGGACGAGCTTCACGGGCACGCGCAGAACTTCGCCCCGCTAGCGCACACGCCTGCGCGGCCTGCGCCTGCGTGTAATTTCAGGCGATGGCTCTCTCAGCCGTCTTATCAAAGACATTTTATGCAACTAGAAGGGTGTCTATTCAGACGCTCCAAAGTCCCTCTTAGCGTTTAGATATTGTTATCTCCTAAACACACCTAAAACTGAAGGACTTTTTTTTTTTAAATACCTTACATAAAAACCAATAATGGATGTTCATGTTCTTCCTCCTAATTGTGTTTCCCTAATCTTGGTTTCCCAACTGCAGGCTTCCAGGATACAATTTGCAAAAGAGCCGAGGATTTGGTACCTAAATTAAAGTCCACGAAAACTCTGAATATTCATCATCTCAGAAGAATCGAAACACAATTCTCCCAAGGTGAGCATCCAAAATTAGGGAACTTGAAAATGTCTTCCTTGCTGCATTTGTGTTTCTAGTTCACAACAGTTAGCTCAGGATGATGCTTCCCTACATAACAGAAATTTAGAAAATGTATACTGTGCAGAGTCTGGCTCATGGATAGCTGAGGTTGTGTCTCATTAGCTGCCATCTAACTGTTGTGAGATATAATATGATCTTATACAATTAATACATTCACATAGTGCAATTAATGTAATCATATTATTACATATCTTACTTTCAAGAGTTTAATTTCACAAGCTTGTTGCTACTGCCACCACTTAAAAGGAGACATTAGTCCTACAAAAAGGGAAAAGAACAAGAGATACAATGCAACGCATACTTAAAAAAAAAAGGTAAGCAAAAGCTAAAATAAAAGTTGCAAGAAAGCTAACCAGAAAAGAGTTAAGCCAGCAAAACAGGAAAAGAAAGGTTAGTAGGTTGATATTAGAGAAAATTAAAACGGTGTTTAAAATGTTCAGAAAATGTTAACAAAATTAATTAAGAAATAGAAACTTATTAAAGACAAAAGAAAAAGTTGTAAGTCCTGGAAATAAAACAGATAGGACTTGCTTTGAAAACAGGAAAAGGAATTTTTTTAATAGAGTTATGAATCATCTGAAGGATGGAGAGTTTCTTGAAACAAATATCTCTTTTTTTTCCAGAAAACTATCTATTTGTGCATACTTATACTGTATACTCTAAACTGACCCTTTTTCGGTTGTAATAAAATACAAATATTGATGCGTAGACATTTTTTGAGAAACTCTTTAACATGCCTAGTTTTTCTTAAAAGCTTTTCACATTATTTTAATTTTTTAATAAAATGCTGTGGAAGCATGTATATCCTTGACTTTCAATTCACTTAAGTGAATTAGGCACTTCTAGAAATCCTGCCCTAAACCATTAATTCCTTTTAAAATTTGAAATTTACATTTGAAATTTAAATTTTCAAAGATGAACCATCAGATTCTGTTCCACTTTGACAAGAAAAAAGTTGGATCAGCTATATTTAGCAGCAGGTGCTAGAGGATCTTAAAATCTGGCATGTGTTAATAAATAAATTCACAGCAGCAATTTGTAGTCATATTTAAGGCTGATACTACACATTTTAAACAAGACGCTTAGGATGCCGTTTATCTGAACCAGTCTCATGAGGCTTCGTTTAGAGCCAATGGAGTCTAGGATGCTATTTATCCCACCCTAATGTAGAAATCTAAAATGAGGTAAATGAATTGCCTAAAGAGGTCTAAAATGATTAGCTGACCTGTAGAAATCTACCTTGTAGATGCAGAATTAGCTTGTTTCAGAATTTCCTAATTGCATCTCAGTAAAAACTCTGTTATTATAATATTGCTCACTACTATCTTCTTATACCTTGAAAGCAAATGCACTGAATACATTTTGCAGTGGATGGATGAAGAAGGAGATTTCCAGGAAACATTTCGGGTGTTTACCATATTATAACCATTTTCATTTTGATGCTCTTTGGCTAGCTCTACACTGGCTAGTGTGATGGAGTAGGAGCACATCTGAAGAAAAGAACTGTTGGCGCTGAAGACCTGATATCCACAATAGATTATTTTCAGGGGTTTTTACTTTGGACTTTTGATCCTGTGGGCTGAAAACAGAAAACCATTAGCAGCGTGAGTTCATCAGGTGGACTACCTGCTGATTTAATGGTCGGATTATTGCATAAATTTTGGCAATTTTGTAACAGGTGTGCACTGTAAGGCCACTGGCAAACTAAGAACTTAAAACATTCCACTTTTAAAATTTAAGGTCAATAGATATGATGCTTTTTGAATATAAATCAAATTCAGATGTTTTGCAGTAACCATAATTCTGTAAACCCGACAGACAGATACACTTTGTATGAGATACGGAAATGTGCAGTGATGAGAGTCTTTTGTTCAACATGTAGACTACAGAGTTAGCACTCTTACCATGCTCTTAATATTACCATGCTCTAATATCTCTTTATTCAAGGAATATTTAAGGTTGCTTCTGCAGAGCTTAGGACCTGGACCTATTTAAGAATAAGCAGTCTAAGTAACATTTTTCCATAAGAAAGAAAAAAAGATATTTAAGAATTTGAAGTCAGTAGTTTTACACATGCACCTTAGAAATACATCTCTGGCTATGTTTTTGTCCCCCTCTGCTTTCAATGACATCGATGGGGAAATAAATGTATTTCAGTGGGTATTTCACCAACCCCTATGCTCCATTTGCCAACCTTTTGTTATTGGTGATGCAGTGTAACATACAGCATCATTTGCTTTGATTCCAGGGTAAGTTTAAGGTGGTGTTATTGGTTTACTGTCTTAAGTCAAGAAACAAAAGTTTAAAGAACCTGAAGAAGTTTGATCTGGAAGTTACAGAGAACTGTAAAAGAATTTTGAATCATTTTTATGTTTCAAACAAAACCTCACTGCACCAGCTGTGAATTTCCAGTGTTTCTGTTTTAAGTTGGGCTGGGGAGGTGGGAAAGAGTATTTGAATGGCATGTAAAGAAGGATGCAGGTATGAAAACTGTCTTGCAAAATAGGAGCAGCTGTGTTGTATTCCCATAATTAAGCAAACAAACAAAGCAACCAACCTGTGGGCTGAAATGAAACACAAATTTCCCTCAGCCATGTAACACAGTCCAACAAAAGAGAGAATTAGAACTATAAATGCATTTTATTTTGAGCAACGCAGCAATTATATTCACAATTACTACAGTGAATTTAATTTTTCATCCTTCTTTCATGATGCTGTTTGACAGTTGGATTTTCATTGTCCTCCTATCCCTCAAATTCCAGAACTTCCAAAGAGAAAAGAAAAATAAAATAAAATACCTAGGAGACTTATGCTGAGCAAGCATGGGTACCTTCTACAAAGGAGATAAACAGCAAGTATTTTGAAAGTATTCTGTATGATCTAATGGAACACGTGCACTTTAGAGGAAAAATAGAGGAGATCATATAATAGCCTAAAGAGATATAACTTATTGCTTTGTAATCCAGTAATTGTCTGTTAGAGGACCCCTTAAGAGCAATCTTTACCCATGAAAGTTACAGAGTTATTAACTTGAAATAATACAGTTATTAACTTGAAAGTTGTTTGAGCCTGTAAGAACAAATCAGCTCAGGAAAACGAGGTCATGGAAAGTAGATTTCCTGAGGTAAAATGCAAGAAACTGCCACAATATAAATTCAAGCGTGAACTTCTGCAGTGTTGTGTGTAAACTAGTCTACAACTACAGAGGGGAAGGAGAAAAGGTCCTCCGGAATTAGATCTCCCTATGCTGCTCCTAGGAACTAGAATAGGTATCCATGTGCCAAACAGCTTGCTGAGACCCAGTAAATCAGTAAAAAAGTTACTTTTTCACCTAAGTTGTTATAGTTTTTTTATGTTTTCTGATGTATTTCATGAGCATTCTCTCGTCTGTCAATCCCATAGCTTTTTTTCCACAAAAACCGATGAGATAGCTTTAAAACATGCGCTCGGGACAAGCCTCACGGAACAGGCCCACGTTTTGCTCCACAATGAAGCGGGGAGGCTCGTTACAGCGACCGAGGCTGAGGGCTGAGCGAGAACCGGCTTAACCGCCAGAGCGGCCCGGCCGCAGGCTCCTCTGCGTCCCGAGGGGGTGCGAGCCCCAGAAGTGTCCGGAAAATCCGAAACTGGCCACTTCTGCCCCAGAACATGCACCTGCTTAGCGCATGTACCGACTGTAAACTACTTCGTCTCCACTGCGGTTTGCAGTCAGTTATTTCAATTTAAAGAAGTTTGTTTTTGTCTTCTGGAAAGGAAAGCGAAGCGCAGAGGAGCCCAGAGGGGCTTCTGCCAGCCCGGCGGGCGCTGCCAGTGCTCCGGACGC